CCGAAGACAGACTTTGTATTGGAAGTGGGGCTGTTTTGACTGATGCCTGACCATGTGGTTCAGAAGGCTTTGGAATTTGGGCATGAGAGGAGCTTCGGAAGGGTTGGAGTTGCCGTGTAGAGGTGACTTACACTGTTGTAAGGTCCATTTGATGGGAGATACCAGTCTGACTTCAAAAGGCCAGAACACTGATAGAAGTAAAGAGTACTGAAAAAGTTTACTGACTGTAAAGACCAAGCTCCAGAAGTTTCAGTTGGGAACAGACTCAATTGGTAGTTTGTTTTTGTCTTTTTGAGACAGGGTCTTGCTGTATAGTTCAGGTTGCATTTGAGCTCACTTTGTAGCTCAGGCTGGTTTCAAACTCACAATGATCTTCCTGCCTCAGCCTCCTGAGTGCTGGGATTACAGGCGTGCACCATCACATCCAGTCATTTGGCAGGTAGGCTAGAGGCCATGTGTGTTATGTTCAGGCAGAAAATTCGCCTACATTTTTTTCTCATGTCCTGGTCAGAAGACTGAGACTAAGGTGGAGGATCTTATTTTGTGGAGGAAGTTTCAAGGTATCCCAGTGTGAGGCTGTGGCATGGATACTGGCAGATTTATACTGAAACTCAGGAGCAAAAATCTCATTTAAAAAGTTATGAATTTTGCCAGAAAGAAAGCAGCTCTTGTAAAGTTAGATCAGAGGACATCTTGGTTGCTAAAGAGATTAGCATTAAAAACAAGTCAAGTAATTTCCATTAGGACAAAAGGAGGAATGTCTGGAGTACATCCAAGGAATCAGCAAGGCTCACTCTTCACAGGCTCAAGGGTTTGAGAAGAGAACCCCAAGGCTCACTTCCTGGGCAGGGCTACACAAGGAATCAGTTGCCCAGGAATCTGTTCATAGTCTCAGCCATCCAAGCACTAACAAGCCCCTGCATTCATGATCCAAAGGGGCCCAACTCGTGCTTGAGTTGGTGGCAGACCTTGGTGTCAGGTGGTGCTGGTTTTATGGGCATGCAGACTATGAGCTGTGGAGTCAGAGAGGATTCCATCCAGATTTCAGGAGAAGGCCTGGAGGGCAGGCAGTGTGCTACTGAGAGGGAAGCACATGAGGTTGTGAGAATAAAGCTGAAAATGCAATGGAGAGCTCAAGAGAGTGGAGATATCAGAAATGTGGAATATCTGCAGAAGAAGGCCATAGGCAGTGAGCAAAACCACCCCAAGAGAGAAGCCATCAGGGCTTTCAAGCCCTAAAGAAGGGGTCGCTCAAACCATTTGGAGTTCACATCTTTGGCCTGGGAGCAGGACATGGATTTAAAGTCTCAGTTCTGGGTTTTGGTCTTGCTTTGGTCCTATTCCTTTGTATCCCCCCATTTCTCCCTTTTAGAATGCGAATGTTTACCTACTGTCTTTCTACCTCAGCAGTTATTAACTTTCTTTTTGATTTTCACAGGGGGTCACAGGTAAGAGTTTGCCTTATGTCTTGGAGAAGACTTTGGATTTTGACTTTCTAGCAGTGCTGGAACTGTGAAGACCTTTGTGACACTTAGAGATGAACCAAATACATTTTGAGTAAAGAGGTACATGTGAGTCTCTTGGGGTCAAGGACAGAATGTTGTTATAAATCTGAAATGGTCCCCAGAGCTTTATGTAATTGGAAGGTGATTAGAGCATGGGGTGCTACACTCACTGGTGAATTAACCCTCGGATGGGTTTAAAGCTAAAAGAGCTGCAAGGAAGTTGGGCCTCTAGGGAAGAGATGGATGACTGGGGCCGTGGCCTAGAATGGCAGAACTCCCTCCCTTGATCCTCCTTTTGTGCTCTGCCTCCTGGCCACCATGATGTATCAGGTTAATAATATCCCTTAGTTATCACAGGCTGATCAGGTTTGCAATCTTCTGAATGAGTGTATAGCAAAGGCTAAATAAAAAGAGACAAATGGAATGATTTCAGGACCCTAGGAGGATCAAATCCCTCTCACAGAATTTGAGATTCTCTTAGGGCTAAGACCAAGACCTTCTCTGAGTGACCCATATTTGTTTGATTATCAGAAGAAGGGGGGGAGTACTCAAGAAGGGCGGGTTCACGCAAAGAGTTCTTTAAGTAAGGTATTAAGTTAATCCACCCAGGAGTGAAATGCCTGAGGCCATAGTCTTATCTAGTTGAGATGGATCCAGGTGTCCTTGGCTGTGATCTTGTCTTAGCCTTTGATAGAGGCTTCCCAGCTTCATCACCACTACAGGCTTTAGTAGGGATTAGGGACTCACAGAGGTTCACTTACTATGAGTCCACCATCCACTTCCAGACAAGAAGCCTAGGCCTTGGACAGACTCACAAGTGAACATGAAAAGCCCACTGGTTAATTTAAGTCCTGCTCAGGGCTGCTTCGGAGTGGTCTCCATCAATGATGTGAGCAGCTTTTGTCTTCAGCAGGCCCTTCCACTGGCCACTTCCTGTTTGAAGACCAATGTACATGGACTGGAACTTTATGGAGGTGAGCCAAAACAAATGCACTCTTCTAGTTGTGGGTGTCAGGTGTTTGCTCCAGGGAAGAGAAAAATAACTGAGACAATGGGTATGAAAATTCTCTAAGATGAACAACTTCCAGAGAGCTACTATTCAATATTGTGACCTCTGTGTGTGACTCAGTGACGAGCTATTCTACACTTGCAAACCATGGAGCATGTCCATAGCATATGTTGTTGTTACAGGAAAAGAAAGGCAGGCAGTGTGGAATGAATAGTGATACAGAATTTATTGAGAATTCATGAAAGCTACTTGCATCTAGGAGGACAACTCAAGGTGTTCAGGAAATGAGAAAGCAGAAGAACTCAAATATGCAGAGTGCACTACAAAAGAAAATGTGATTGATAGTTCCACAAGCCTGTGACATCATTCACAGGGCAGGTGAAGACACTGGCTTCAAAATTTACATCAAGACCAGTCTTCCACATGAAGAAGTTGTGAAGTAAGCCAAAATCCACATGGTCAGAGGGAGAAAAGGAAGAAAGTGGAGGACTCTGCCCTCACTCAAAGGCATTCACAACTCACACAACACTGAATAAATAACAGATTTCCTGGTAATAACATAATGGTTTTCAGAAAGATGTGCAGGAACAGCAAGTTGTTGACAAGTTTGGTTGTACTAAAGGTGGCCCTTTGGGAAGCTGATCAGCAGCAGCTGGGCTGGCAGTAGCTGGACACACAGCACTTAGGCTGGCAGCAAGGGGTGCTGTAGCAGCTGGTCACACAGGTGGGCTTGAAGGAGGTCCTGCAGCAGGTGGTCTGACAGCAGGGCTGGCAGCAGCTGGAGCCACAGCTGGTCTGTCCACAGCAGCTGGGCTGGCCGCAGGGGGAGCTGCAGCAGCTGGAGATGCAGGCTGGCTTCCAGCAGGTGGTCCTGCAGGTGGTGGTCCTGCAGCAGGTGGGCTGGCAGCAGGGGGAGCAGCAGGAGTGTGTCATGGTGTCAGGTGTGGAGGTGGGTCCTGGTTGCAGGTGAGTTTCTAAAGATGGTGCGACCTCTTCCCATCTTGGCCTTTTATACACTGGCCCGATGAGATTGCAGCAGGTCTCTTCCCCGTTGTTGTTTACACTAATTCCTATATTCAATTTGTGTCTGCTAGGGAAAAAATTATGCACCAAAAGGGATGAAGCTTTTAAGAGAAAGTGTTTAACCTGTTCCTAAATTGGCGGAATCCCATAGGTGCCTTTTCAGACACAGGAAAGAGTTCCTTTATCAACATGGCTCCCGTTCTGAACACCATCTGGTCTTGTGCTCGTTTCAGCTGCCCTGTGAGGGCCAGGACAGTTCTTCCTCTTCAGGCCTCTTTCTTCAGCCACACTTAGACACGAATCTAAGTGTGCCTGGGGAGGGCATGGTGTTCACAGTGGTGCACAGAACGCCTGGCTTCACGTATACCCACAAAGCTGAGCGGGTAAAGTACAGGGTGAGTGCAGGCATGCAGCTCTGTTCCAGTTCCTCCTCCAGTGGGAAGATTTGTCCCTGGTCTTTCAAGCACTTGGGAAGGGGATGTTTGTCTCGGTGTGATCCCACTGACAGAGCAGAGGCAGGACAGGTGCGCACAGACAGTAGCTGTAGGTTACGAGTAAGAAGGTAGCAATGTGTTAAGGTTTAGACATCCCCTTCCCTGAGCCTCTTGTGTTCGTTGGTGGGACTTCGTTGGTGATTGGATCATGGGGAGCTATGCTCACCAGTGTGTAATTCACATAAGGATTTGTGGCGGAGTGTGCTGCTAGTGGGTGGGGTCTGGTCAGCAGAGGCGGTTCCTGGGGGTGTGGCCTGCAAGGGAATCTCCCCCTCCCTGTTCTTCCGTTCTCTCTCTGCTTCCTGGAAGCAAACAGCTGTCCTCAGGCATACTGTTCCGCCATCCCCTTCCTTCCTGAGCAAGTCAGCTATGGACTGAGTCTTCCAAAATCTGTGAACTAAAATAACCGTTCCTCCTTTAAATTGTGGGTGTCGGGTATTTTGCCCCAGGTCGCTTTCTGGCTCACAGGCCTGGGAGGGGTGGTAGGGGCGTCCAAGGAGAACTTGTGGCAACATTGCTGAACGTCGTGGTGCAACCTTAATACACACACACATGCACACACGCACACATCTGATCATTTTTGTGAATTTAATATTGGTCATTTCTGCAACAATATTACATCATTCTGAGCAACATGAATGAAAATATGTCTTCAACCCATGTTATGGTTTGTGTCTTGATGTCCCCTCAAAGCCTCATGCAGTCATGGGGTGGGCTTTTGGAGTTTATGATTAATCCATGATCCGATGCTGGGATTATGGGTGTGAGTGCTACACCTGCCCAGGGGTGGATAGTTTGCATATGTAAGAGAAAGAGCCTGCTTGCTTTCACTCCGCCCATTTGCTCTTGTTGCTTTTGCTATCTTCAGCCACCATGAACTGTTGCCCTCTGCCATGTGCCCCTCTGCCTTGGAGCCAGCCGAGTATGGACTGAAACCTCCACAGACTATGAGCTAAATAAACCTTTCCTTCCTTGATTCTGGGTGTTAGGTATTTTGTCTCAGCAATGAGAGAAAAGTATCCAAGACAACCCTCAACTCAAATGCTCAACTCATTGAAGTGAACCCAGGAGAAACATGGGATTGGTGAACACAACTCAGAAGCTGGTGGTGTCAGATTCTCACCAGGTCAACTCATACAGAAAACCTGAGATCCCCACTGACCTTCAAGACCCAGACTGACTCCTCTGAGGTTTACATTTGAACTGTCAGAGATGAAAGAAGGAGGTCTGGATTATCTTAAAAACAGAATTTTATGACTGGTAGCAAAAGTAGCTCTTAAATGATAGGCCCAGAAGGAATCAACTAAAGTACCAGGATGCTTATAAATTGGAAATATCACAGCTTGGCACTACATTCTGTTGCCACAGGGGCACAAAACAAGAGTGGTCAGATTATCCTGCTGAAGTGACAGAAGTAGGAACAACCACTTGATGCAAATACACCTTAAAAAAAATCAATGGCTCCCATCAGGTCTGCAGGATTTACACTAGCCCTGTGAAAAAGAATGCGTATTTCTCAAAATCGAGTGAGGTGGTCCATGACAGGGGTTCAGGATCAGAAGAGATGCAGAGGGAATTGTTGGCAGTGCCCAGCTGAGCACAGCACCAGGAAGAGCGCTGTTCCTCCGTTTTCTAGTTCTATAAGCATGGCTGAGCATTTTCCTCTGGTTGTAGGAAATGTTGCTCAACATTAGAATATCATTCCAGTTTTTAAATGGACAACATATTGGAATAGTGTGCCTGACAATTACCAAAAGACAACATGATGGAGACCACAATGAAGCAGCCCTGGGCAGGACTTAAATTAACCAATGTGCTTTTCATGTTGACTTGTGAATCTGTCCAAGGCCGAGCCTGCTTCTCTGGAGATGGTCTGTGGACTCATAATAAGTGAACCTCTGTGAGTCTCTGATCCCT